TTGGATAACCTCATTGGTGTTTTGGGTCTCGCACTCGTCCACCGGCAGCCTGACCAGCGCGGCATCGCCTTGGTCCACATTGCCATCTGGCCTTGAAACTCTGAAGGTCATGGCAGTGCGATGCGCCCCATACAACCTTCCAGCTATGACCGGGCCCACATGTTACCCCAGCCTCAGCTTCTCCAGATAGCTCCTCAAGGTGTAATCACCGGGAAGCCATCCAGGCGGCACATTTCGCCTGTATTCCGTCAACGGAATCGTCCCGGATGGGGCAGGTGGTGCAGCCATCCTGGCCGTAGGTTTGGTCCTCAGACAGTAAATGCCGCCTGGCTCGTCCAGGTGGTTCTTGTCCAGGTAGTTCAGGAGGTAGGAGCAAGGCGACAGCAGCAGCGAGAGAACCACACACAAAACCTCCAAGAAGTAGGATGTAGCGCACCAGCAGCCACAAGCAATGATTTCAGCTCCAGGATCACCCCAAGCGCCAGCAGCAGCCCAGCCACCCAACCGAAGGGGCAGTAGCCCAACCAGCAGCAACGCCTATGGCTCGGCCGGTGGCAGCAAGCTCGAAGCAGAGCTCCGCTACCAAACTTGGTTTTCGACCACTCCAGGGCCCCCTGCGGACAGTCATGTTTCGGTGCCCGTGCAAGGGCTGGTATGCATGGGTCTGGACAGGGTCTATGTAAGTTCACTGTATATATATATACATACATAATTATATATAATCCTTCTACGAGTTTACCGGGTCAGGTTGGCTCACCTGATTTTCTAGGGAAAACATAGGTGAAAACAGATACTTGGGCCCTAGAAAAACACAGCTGGAAAAAACATAAATACCACCTCACCAGAAAATCAGCACACACACAAAACGGCATTTTAGACCCTGAAATGCCAAAAATTTGGTAGAAAATTGAAACCTGATCCTTGGGCTCCGGCGAAAAATGCGGAGCTTGATGTCATAATTATTTAGCATCAACATCTGAGCTATGATATTCTAGAACATTCATGTCCGGCCTCCTCCCCTCTCCCGAGATTCGATTTTTTGGATTTTTTTCGAACTTTTCGAGTCTTCTCTCAAAGCGTCCTCCAAATGAGCCCTTCCCAGCCAATAGTCGCCATGAATTCAAATTCAGAAACAATCAGAAATATATCGATACATGTTGCTATGATAAACTATGATATTTTCATATATTTTAATATACGAGCTGGTATTTCATACTACCTCCGGGGCTTCGCAGCCTGGCCCGCCCCCACATTTAAATGTCGTTACCGTACAGCATGCTGCAACTCTGTACAAAAACATACCGCCTCAGTTTCTTTCACTTCTTTCACTTCTTTCACTTCAGCACTTTTTGGTCATAGAAGTTTCAAACAATGACTCAAAAGGAATGTGATTTTCTGGAAGTGACGCGCGCTGTTTCAAATCCAGTGCTTGATTTTCTAGAGGCCACAATTTTCCATACATGTGCCTCCCACATTTTCAAGACGCCTGCGTCCAGGTCCATATTCGAAAACCATCGAAAACCTATATTCGAAATTGTTATTTTCACATATTGCCATAATGCGTCACATGTTTTCACATTGTACACGTGTTCTCCTTCAGAGTGCGATGTGAAACTTTCAGCAAGGACCCCAGGACCTCTTTGCAGAAGTGGAGCTAGCAGAAGCGATGTAGGTTTTCTGGTTGTTTCGCTCTGCATTTCGTGTTCTCACAGCTCCGTTTTGTCCGCAAACATCTTTTTCAACCATTCTCGAGCGCAAAGTGTTCTCCATATGTTCATTTTTATATAACCCCATCCCAATGTATTTTAAGGTGTTTTCATGTTCTCAGATTTACCAGACTCGCAATTCTGGTTTAGGCGTTTTGGACTTGATTATAGAATATTTCAATATTTTTGGCGTACCCTTATAAAACAGCAGTTTTTGGTCATAGAAGTTTCAAACAATTACTCAAAAGGAATGTGATTTTCTAGATGTGACGCGCGCTGTTTTAAATCCAGTGTTTGATTTTCTAGAGGCCAGAATTTTCCATACATGTGCCTCCCACATTTTCAAGACGCCTGCATCCAGGTCCATATTCGAAAACCATCGAAAACCTATATTCGAAATCGTTATTTTCACATATTGTCACAATGCGTCACATGTTTTCACATTGTACACATGTTCTCCATATGTTTATTTTTATATAACCCCATCCCAATGTATTTTAAGGTGTTTTCATGTTCTCAGATTTACCAGACTCGCAATTCTGGTTTAGGCGTTTTGGACTTGATTATAAAATATTTCAATATGTTTGGCGTACCCTTATAAAACAGCAGTTTTTGGTCATAGAAGTTTCAAACAATGATTCAGAAAGAATGTGATTTTCGAGAAGTGACGCGCGCTGTTTCAAATCCAGTGCTTGATTTTCTAGAGGCCACAATTTTCCATACATGTGCCTTCCACATTTTCTAGGCGCCTGCATCGAGGTCCATATTCGAAAATCCATATTCGAAATGACTATTTTCACAAGTTTTCTGTATATTAATCATATTTCATTTTTAATCCCAATCTATTTTCATGTGTTTTCAATTTCTCTGATCTACCAGACTCGCAGCGACGCGCAGGTACTCAAAGTTCCAGCCCAAGCGCTTCGGATTGGCTGTTTTCCAATTGCGAGATGCGGCAAGTGTTGCAAACTTGGACAGGAGAGAGATGGGACTAGATTTTAAGCATGTTTACACAAAACAAAATGACCTACCAGTGCCCCTCTAGAAAATCAGGGACCACTAGAAACTCTAGGAACGTCCTCCCAGAGATGCTAAAATTATGCTCCTGGATTTTGGGCACTTACGCCACCCAGAAAATCAGGGTCTCCCGACTCAGAGGTCTCCAAAAGTTGTTCTGTAGAAAATGAGGGGGTTGATAAAAGCAGCCTTTCATCAAAATCGAAGAATTTTCGCGCCAGATTATCAGTCCTTCTTAGGGGGGTTGACCCCCCTGAAATCCTAGAGGAAACTCACACCGGTATTTTCAGAAACATAAGTCTAACTCAACTAAACTAGAAAGACAGAGCCCACTAGAAATTCATAGGCTGACTCTCCAAAATTGGGTCCGTAAAATCCGCATCTTCCGCGCCAGAAAGTTAGGCAGTTAACGAGCCGGATTTCCTAAAAAAAAGGGAACCAGTATTCAGAAACATAAGTCTAACTCAACTAAACTAGAAAGACAGAGCCCACTAGAAATTCATAGGCTGACTCCCCAAAATTGGGTCCCTAAAATCCGCATCTTCCGCGCCAGAAAGTTAGGCTCTGTCAACTTTGAGGTGCTGAAAATAGCCACGCTAGAAAATTAAGGCCCCTATGAAAGCAGCCGATCCCCAGAATACAAACCTGGGATGACTAGGAAATGAAGGCTTACAGGGGGGTTGACCCCCTAGACTTTCTGGCGGAAACTGGTAAGAGGATTATATATATATATATAAATACTACCTTTACTGAAAAAACAAAACATGCGTCGATCATAATTAATCATATCAGTTGCAAGTGCCCCGCCCAGGAACCACGGAATGGCACCTGCAACTTGCCAATGGCTTGCAATGCCAACTCAAATCTCTGCACCAGTTGGGCATTTGCAGATTCACCTAAAAGGGGTTTTCATGGAAAAAGAACGGCTGTCAACAGTTGCACGCCACCGGTATGGCTCCTATATTCTATATGTCCATCGGATAATTTGACATGTCGCTGGCGCCTGACCGCTGCGCTTCTAGGCGCTGTTGCAGCCTCTTCGTCTCCTCTCGTGCTTCAGTGTGCCCAAGCGCAAGGATGGTGAACAGATCAAGTCAAAGCAACACCAAATGGATAGAAAAGATGGAAATCTGCAGTTGTAGAAGCTAACATCACCTATAACATCTCGGAAACATGTGTTCTACAGTATCAGTTTGTGGGTGACTCCCAAACTGGGGAGGGGGGCCAAGGGTTTCTTGAAGATACCGACATGCGCAACCACAAAATTCTATAGTCATGCTATGTCAACTCCAATTTCAACGAGGCAAATCCCATCGTTAGCCCAAATCGAAAAACATCCAACGCTCGGGGAGATGGTATCTGCCAACCAATGGTGAGGGCTGGCAAACATCCAAAACCGGACACCAACTCAAGAGCCATCTCTGTCGGATCTCTGTCTACAAGAGCTTGGTACACATTAGCATTGGAAATCTCCAATGTGGATTTCAAAAAAATGCAATGTTGGCTGACCTGATCCCACACCTTTTTTGAACAGCTTTCTAAGCTTTGATGTTCATGAGGCTTGGTGCTGAGATTTGCGGCATAGCAAGTCTTTCCCCGCGCTCAAAAAGGTCACTTTGCCCTTTCCAAAAGCAGAAAAGATGAAACTTATTTTTGTCCTGACCTAGCACGCGTGGTGACTGACAAGGACGAGGGTTGACAGGCATGTTTGCGACAGAGGACAATAATGCCTTGCTGGAGGTGACCACCTTCAACATTCTAAAGTTCCAGTTGGGAGTTGAGAGTAAGAAATTACTCTCAGCAGCGTGTGCGATGATTGTTTGATTGCCATCAGCCATTTCCTTTTGACAACCAAGGGTTTCAAGCACGAATCACATATATACAAAACATGCTGAGAAACCATCTAGAATCGAGGGAAACATGCCCAAAGGGTTGATCCAAGCGAGCATCTTACTAATGTATACTACTGTTTAACTGCGCGCTTCAACCCTGCGAGTCACCAAACGCACTACCACCGACTCGTTGTACATAGCTGTATCCATGGAATTCTTCGATTCCACTTGGAACACCAATTGATCCGAGCGAAGGATTTCCACATTCCTTTCAAGTTGGAGGTTGCAAAGCCAACACATCATTCAATGGATTGCTTCAAGGGAAAATGTGCAGGAACCTCTGATTTCATGGGAAAGACTATCTATGGTTTTCTGCAGATTTTCCCTTAAACCAATTCCTTGAATCATGATGCAATCAAACTCTTTGGTGCTTTAGAAGGTGATTCGATGGTTACAGCTCGATGGATTGTGATGTGAAATCCTGCCATCACACTGCACCACTCTGGGCGTTATCATTGCCACTCCCCACAACAGTGGCCACAACAACAGGCGGCCCTACTGCTGTTGCAGGCACAGCTGGTGCAGGCACAGCTGCTTGGGGCCTGTCGACGCACAAAAAAAGTGCCGCTAATCTCCAGTGAAATAAATACAACAGAACAAATACTGCATGGCATACGGTTAAGCCAGTCAACAATAAACAGCTACCATCAACTACCATTTGGTGATGAGTTTTGCAATCCCACGTATGGATATGTATGGCAATATTGGGGGTGGTTTAGTATCGGGTCTACCACAGGCATGACAACGATAGAAAACTGCACATCATGACCTTTATGATGAAAACCAAACACGTGTATGATACCGACGATATACATATATGATACAGCTGATACAGTATGCATTTCACATGACGCTACATTACATCGCATTACACCACATTGAACCACATTACATTACATTACATCACACTACATCACATTACATCACATCACATTACGTCACATTCACATCGCAATTACATCACATTTACATCTCATTATCACATCACATTCTGTTCCATTGCATTACATTCCAATTCCATTTCTTGTATATGCATATGTGTTTGTACTTGTGTATGAAGAATGGTTTGCATATGTATGCAGATGTATTTGTATATGACCTGTAAATATATAATTACGGAAAAAACGCATATTTATGTGTGCGACATCTAAGTAAGAACGCAAGTAAGTAAGCAAGCAAACAAGTAAGTAAGTAAGTAAGTAAGTAAGTAAATTCAAGCAAAGCAAAGTAACGTAAGTAAAGAAAGTAAGTAAGCAAGAAAGAAAGTAAGGAAGTAAAGCAAGAAAGTAAGTAGCAAGGTAAGTCAGACAGTAAGCAAGTAAGAAAGTAAGTTAAGTAAGTAAAGTAAGTCAGGCATCAAGTAAGTAAGTAAGAAAGCAAGGAAGTAAGGAAGTAAAGTAAGTAAGTAAGTAAGTCACTAAGTACGTAAGTAAGTAAGTAAGTAAGTCATTAAGGTAAAATAAAGTAAAGTAAGGTAAAGAAAGGAAGTCAGTAATAAGCAAGCAAGCAAGCAAGCAAGCAAGTAATAAAGAAAAGCAAAGTAAAGTAAAGTAAAGTAAGTAAAGTTACGGTCCGTCGCCATCGTTTGCCCGGATTCGCAATGATGATGATGATGATGATGGTGATGATGATGATGATGGTGATGCTGATGATGATGATGATCATCATCATCATCATCAGTATCATCAACATCAACAACAACATCAACAAGATCAGCATCAGCATCAGCATCAGCATCAGCATCATCATCATCATCATCATCATCACCATGTACTGATGAGGAACCATCAGGATACCCCTCAAAACCCCCCTCCACTCTAAATGGTAAATGGTAAATCTTTCGCAGGTCGTGGGGAAGAATCTGGCATGTAATGATGAGGAATCATCAGGATACCTTCCCCCCCCCCCACAAAAAAAAACACCCTAAATGGGAATGATATGTATCGTTCAAAGGTCAGGGGGAAAATGGTAAGCTTATAAGCATGCAGTTTGTTTGGTCTAGTAGCTAATACCTCTTTTTTCATTGTGTGTTTTTCCGGTCACCCACTGCACCTCTGTGCACAAAGCCACAGCACAGCTAGTGAGTGGGTTTCGCTCGGCTGGCGTGTACCAGTCCAAGAGGAGCTGCCACAACCTCATACCCTGTTGAACCGTTATTTTATTGTACTACGGCGGGACGGCCAAGCATGATGATCAATATTTCAACTGAGATGATCATGTGATGCATATCAACATGTTTGATTGTTATACTAAGATATGTTTAAACGTAGATGATCATGTGATGCGGATCAACATGTTTCGATCGTTATAGTAAGATATGTGTTGAACAAATGATTCATTAGGTTGTTGTGAAAGCAGAACACATATCTCTCATGTTATGATATATATATATATCTAATCGGGGCACAGTTTCCATGTGTTCATATTGGAATTGTTTTGGTATGATGTAGATGGAAAATGTATGATCATGTTTTGCTGAGCAACATGTCATGATATGGATGTTGAGATACATGAACGTCTTGTAAATTCTTGGGCAAACGATGGTGTCAGCGCGTAATGTTAGTAAATAAGCCAGTCAGTAAGTAAGTAAGTCGGTAAGTAAGTAAGCAAGCAAGCAAGTAAGGTAAGGTAAGGTAAAGTAAGTAAGCAAGCAAGCAAGTAGGTAATAAAGTAAAGTGCAGTAAAGCAAAGCAAGTAAGTAAAGTAAGTAACGTAAAGTAAAGTAAAGTAAAGTAAAATTAAGTAAGTAAGTAAGTAAGCAAGTAAGTAAGTAAGTAAGTATGGTAAAATAAAAGTAAAGTAAAGCATGTCAGTAATTAGCAAGCAAGCAAGCAAGTAAGTAGGTAACAAAGTTAAAAACAGTAAATTAAAGTAAATTAAGGAAGTAAAGTAAAGTAAAGTAAAGTAAAGTATGCATGTATGCATGTATGCATGTATGCATGTATGCATGTATGCATGTATGCATGGATGGATGGATGGATGGATGGATGTATGTATGTATGTATGTATGTATGTACATATGTATGATACTTTTTTTGCCTCTGGTCCACTTGAAAACTGACGCCCCCGAACCCCCTAAGCCACCACTGTTTACAATCTGAGCCTGGGCCCACCCGAAACCATCTTGCGCCACTTCACGAAGCTCGAAGGGATAGCCACCAGGAGGATCAGCAGGCCAATCACCAATACCGCATCTGTGAACAGTATGAAGCCCTGGCACCGGGTCGGCTAGTTCTTGACATTTCTTGAGCCAGGCATGCCGTGGCATATTTACATTCCAAAGCCCATGTTGAACCCGAAAACATGTCCTCCCTGCCTCAGTGTGGAACACATTATTGTCTTCCGTCCACGGCACATCCCTCTGCGAGCGAATCATGTTCACGGGCCACACGGCAATCAAAACACCAATGAAGAAGGGCGCATCCAACATATGAAACGTCTTGCAGGGGCTGCAGGGGCATTGGACGTCACTCAACTGGCAACAGCACGGTGCACAGCATCGAGAACATATAGCAATTAACCATAACACGCCAACCTGAGTGACAGCTGTATCTTCACAGATCTTCTTAAAGGGACCCTTGGATGTCCCTACTCTCTGGGAAAGCAAACAGTTAATCCATATTATAACAATCCTAAGACCTAAGATGTTTGCTGGGTTCAAGATGCTACAGAGGTAGAAATGTTGCTCAAAAACAGTAACTGCGGTCAGTGACAATCGCTCCGAACCAATACGCCAAGTCTTGGGACGTGACATAGAAGTCAGCTGCGCTCTGCCACTCATCTGAGAAATCAAATCCACTCAAGTCCCAGTTCGAGAGAATGATGATGGAGATGCCGTAGATCCCAATCAGAAGGAATAGGATCACAACAGCAATGCTCAAGAGGAGTTGGAATGCCGGACTTGACCCAAGGCTGTTGCAACAATTGCAATCTGCCATGGCAGCAAACAGTTGACGCAGCTCAACGGCGAGAATAAGTGGAAACCTCTTGTTTGAGAGCCAGATCTGAGTTCAGCCAAGCCAGGGAAATTCAACTTAGAGTAAGTCGGTCTGATACCCGTCCTTCTTTACAGCGTTGCCCGCCTACTTCCCCCAGGACCCCTCAAGGAGGAAAGGCCAGGGGCAAAGGGGAGCAGGCAAATGAGGCCTCTTTGGTGGGCAGCCCAGAAAGCGAATGGCAACTTTCATGTTTCAAGAGAAGCTTTTGGAAAGCCTCACTTCAGGAATCCAGGGATAATTTGTGGATCCTCTCCTCTCGAGGATTTCTGAATCGCGACATATCGCGACTAAACTGAGAAGTGGAGCCCCTAAGATCCCTAAGAGTTGGATCGCATTCTTCATATGTCCATCTCCATGGGAAATTCATCTTAACCGGTCTTAACCCATTTTGCATATATGGTTTTGGATGATTTTTAAAACTTCCATCATCAGCTCAATGTTGTTTGGATTCTTGAAGCGTTCGCCCCGTCCTGCTGCAAGGTATCCCGCTGCTGTGTTACACAGCTCACCTGGCTGGAAGGACCAACGCTCATTTCAGTGGAGAATGTAGCCTGGCATGGATTTCATTGATTTCATTGCTACTATTTTTACATCGCCAATCTTAGGTACTAGATACCCGCTTATGCTGCATTTTTTGCAGTTGGGTGGCATATTCCTCCATTTATGGCAACAAACTGCTACTAGCATTGACCCACCTTTCACCGAGGTTTACTCAGGCAGGTGGCTCACAACCATGTTCATCAAATATCCATCGGCTTTCCTATTCTATCCTATTATTAATCTATAGCACCGACCGAAATTGGAATAGTAGGTCCCACTGCCAGAGTATTGTGGAACATGTTGATGGGCATATCACCCATTCAAATCCGGCTTAATTAATTCAAATCGTAACCAAGCAACCAATTAAACATGGGGATTAGTACGGGATTAGCTCACAGAAGCGCGGATGTACAGTAAGTGAACTAAAGCCAAACATTCTTGGCCACAAACGGCCGCTACCTGCTACATGTGAACAGGTTGTTAAACTTGTACCCACGCCTGGGGAAACTGCAGCTAGTGGTCCATGATTGTACGCTTCCAGTTGGTGAACCGTTGGTCTTCCACTGGGTTGAGGCCATCTTCATACGCCCCAAATTGGATTTTCCTTTGACTTTAATGCCGTGTGACAGCGGTAGAGACAACCAGCTACGCGTGAAGTCCCCACCAATGATTGTGATCATTAATTAAAAAACACAAACAAAACCAACAAAAAACAACAAATTCAGGGGTGACGACGAGACACACCATGGGACAGTCGAATGCACGGCCCCAAATTGGATGGTTGATCCGTGCCTGCATCCGGAGCTGCACTTCAGTTTCCGAGCTGCCGAAACCGGGGCCTGGCACCACCAAGAAAGATAGGGAAGTAATGAAATAATTCCCCCATAAGCCTGGTAATATAACCCCTATGTGGTTCTATGTCCACTTCTAACACTTCTTCTAACTGGAACTGCACCCCCAAAGTACGAGTACGATTTTGATAGCAGTTGACTGTGCAACTTTGTTTATGGAACCCCGACCAGCTTTTTGACGGAGGCACCTGTCGCTGAAGTTTGCAGCTTGTCAACCTTGGAATGAAGGGATGCTGGTGAGAGGGGGTGTGGCGTTGGCACTGCCCATGGCCTATGCTGAAGAGTTGGAGAGATTCTGACTGCCTGACTGGCTATTCAAAGCTGTCATTTATCATCTCCTTCTAACTTTACCCTCAGCTTGGGCATCGGCATTTTCAAAGACTTGTTCTTATAAACTGATCCGTGGACTTAGGCTGAAAACATGGAGTTTATCATTAAAATCTGAATTTTCCATGTTGTCATTTTTGTTGTTATCTCATGGTCACTCTGCGAAGAGAGCGACCCTAGCTTCAACAGTGCCTTGGGCCTTTGGCAGTGTATGTACATTATGTGCATGTCCATTATGTGCATGAGAATGAAACATTCATTGAAATGGTCAATGTTAAAACCGTCGGGTATTCGGCTATTTATTTGCACATGTTCCTGACCTATCATCATCTATCACCCCCATGTCATCACCATTTCATGACATTTGGGTGGGTGTAAAAATGGAGTGTGTACCTCCAAAAAATACATGTGAAGGGAAAACGATGATAAACCATGCATAAAACATGAAAAAACATGATGAATTGGGGTCCTCTATTTTCAAACAACGCCATTTGAGTTTTCCGTGGAAATCTTCAGCCACGACTTGCCCTGACCGTCCTGACCTGCTGCTGCAAGTCGTCGCCACGCTGTTCCGCGGACTTCCGCCGGGCGCTCTCCAGCCTCAACTCACCTGAGAACATGAAGATGTACGGCAACATGATTGTCCTATTTTGAAGACAATTACATAGTACTGATACTGGTGTTTAGTATTCCAAATAAGGACTACCACACACACACACAGATACATATATATATATATGTATGTGCACAGTATTTACACATACACACACATACATACATACATACATATATATATATATACATATCGCTAGGGGGCTGGCGTTTGGCCGAAATGCACGGAATTCCATGCGGGACTGCAATTTTCTGAGTTGTTTCCATGCGTGTTTTTTGAAGACTACGAGTCGGGCATGCAAAATATTGTTTTTTTACCCGCGTCTCATTGCATTTTTGCGCTTACCTAAGACGGTGCCAAAATTACCTTTTGAAGCGTATCTTAAAGATATCCTCTGTAATTTGCAGTGTTTCGAGCAGTTAACTGAAACCTCCACAAACTGCAAGACTTTGCAAGAACCCCAAACTAACCTAACCCTAAACCAACCCTAACTAAACCCCAAACAACCCCTAAACCAACCCTAAATCAACCATACGTGAGCAAACCCTAAAGCAACCCTAAATACTAAACAAACCCTAAATAAACCCTAAACATCCCTAAACAAACCCTAAAGAAAATCCAAACCAATCCTAAGCAAACCCTACACAAATCTGAAATAACTCCTGAACAAGTCACAACGTAACTAAACCCCCAATGAAACTTTGGGCGAACGTCCGCTCCGGAGGGATATGTATATATATATATAATAAAACTACGTATATAAAACCGCATGTGTCTGTGTATATGTATCTAACATCTATTTATCAATATTTATCCAAAAATCACCACGAATTTGCTACCCAAAAATGGCCACTGCACCGCAGGCCTTCCGCCGCTTCCCGGCTGCGGTCAGCGGCTTCACGGGCAGACTGCACCTATTGAGTCACGCTCAACCATGCAATGACCAAATGAGCAAACAGTGAAGGAATACATGTGGTTTTCAAAGATTTCTATATAATTCTACATGGTTATTATGATGGGATTCAAAGACATGGTGGCTTAACCGGCCTGCATGGAATTGAAACATGGAAGGAGGCGACAAACATGGGCAACAATGACCAAAAAAGAGACCACCAAAATGAGTCAAAATCAGGATTTCACCCAGCTAAAAGTTGGCACAGGTAAAGGGGAAGCATGGCACTCGTTGAGGTGCCAGCTCGCTTCAACTATGGCATGTTCTCCCGGCTCTCCCCAACATCCTTCTGGCAACTGTCCCACTGCCATCTCCATCCATCTCCCATCTATTTATTTACTGATTACTCATCTTTGAATTTACGGTATGCGTTTATTGCGTTTATTTCTCAAATTTGTTTGCTTAATTTGCGCTGATGCCACCACTTACTTATGGCTGCAATCTTGGCTAGAATTCCTGTGCTTCATGAGTCGAAGGCCTCTGCAATCTCCCGACCTAGGCCGCATCCCCGCTGGGAATGCTGGAATAAAGAGGGTAGAACTTGTATGTTGATGGTTTATGCCACCTCTGGTACTTTTGGGGATGGTTTAGTATTGTTTTACCAAACATTCATCCCATTAACATTTTTTCCGACGAGCTATATATCATATATCCAATCGGTTTCCTTCAAGCTGCGAAGCTGTGCAGCCTCCTCATGCGCCATCTGTGCGCGCAAGGATTCCTCATGGAGTTCACGAGCCCGGCGTTCCTCGCGACAAAAAAAAACTGATGAATCGCGATGAAACATGGGTGGACATGGACTAGCACCCAAAAACCAAAAATTAGCAACGATCAATGTTCTTTGTATGCCTATACGAGTTATATTATATCAATTTGCAATATACCATATGCCATTCAATACACACACACACACTCACGCAAATATGTGCATATATATTTACAATTATATACATATGTCCCCGCACATATGGATGCACACATACATGTGCATGACTGTAACATAATGTAACAGATATGACAGGATAGTACGAGTCGTACCAACGTTTACTGTATTCAGTTTGCTTCTCATGGATCTCAACTCATCACATGCCAGCCTGCAAGGCTTCTCTCTGTCTGAGTTCCTCCTTGGCGGCTTCAAGTTCTGCGCGCTCCTGCTCCAGCCCCGGGCACAGGATGGGTTTGACTGCTGAGAAGGGCTGAAGCTTTATCCCATAGCCGCCATGGCCCTAGCATCTCCCAAAAGGACTGACCCTATCACTCAAGCTCTCAAAGCAATGACACCAAGTACCACCAACCACAGTGATACCCCACAGAGCTCATGTGGTGCGCGAGAACCCTTGTGATTGGAGACTCCTTGTCGCGTTCGCGGTAGGCGATGGCCTCCCGCTCCAAGAACTTTTGCCTCAGCGAATGATCAGAACCCAAACTGCTTGGCAACAATCCATAGTCGACCCATATAAAATTGATACCCTCTGGTACTCAAAGATGGCTTGCTGAAAAATCACGCGTTTATTCTGATGAGTTTTGTTTTTTAAAAAAATATAAAGCATACAGTACCAATTCACAGGGAAATGTTTGATGAACTTTTTGAACGCAGTGTAGATTGTTGGAACGTGTTTTGAAATGTCTTCCCTGGGAGCCACAACATTGACTCGCATGATTCGCATGGCAACCTCCGATAGCAACAAGATGGTCCAAACATGTCCAAACACATCTGTGACATTGTGGTTGTCATCTTATGCTTTTAATGCGCTTTATTGATAAAATTCGTCAGCTCCACATTCACGGAGATTTTGTGTGCGTCCCTGTCTCCTCTGCTAGCGACCTCGAAATCAATGGCCGGCCATAGATTAACATGTATCATCTACTAGCACGGACACACACAGACCTGAAAGCCCACAAGGAACCAAATGTATGGCAATTGCCGATAATAAACCATCTCGCACAGCGTTCTTTTGCCAGATGTGCTGTCACATGATAACACATAATGTAATCTTTGAGTGAGAACCCCAAAATCCACTGGTTCATTATCATTCTCCCCACAAGGGATGGCAAGGTGCTCCTGATGCGCAAGCTGCGCTTCCATCTCCCCCAGCCGTTGCTGGTACGGCATGCTCTCATTCACAAACCTCGGTGCACGGACATGAGGTGGGACACGGCAGAGCGCAGTGGTGATGTCAAGTGCTTTCAAAACATAACATCCCCCAAAAAAAACAAGTAGATATGAGGCACATTGAGTGATTATGAATCTGGATGGAACATATTTTGAATCATCAGCACGATACAGTATGTTGAGTATACTGTGTGGAGACATGTGGTGACCTCATTATGAGACAAGTCACTGCATCAGTGAAGTGTGAAATGTAACAACGACCGGGCGTATGAAACAATGACGGTACTCTTATGGTTTACCCTACAGCTAGGAAACAAATCAAGAAACCAGGAAAACAATCCTTATATATAGTATGCATCCGAGACTTACATAGCACCATAGAAAATGTATCATAATATAAATGTCCACAATTGTCGAGCAAGTGCTGGTACCCAGCATCAAACAGCTCCAATCTCTTGACGCCCACGACACAACAAACTGGGACCTTGTGATTGTTTCAGGATTTTTCAGGTACATCCCTCCCCCTTGCTTGCCATCTTTGTTTCATTCCAGGGTGCCTACCAACTCTGTTGCATGCTGTTGCATGCTGTTGCATGCTGTTGCATGCTGTTGCATGCTGTTGCATACACTCTCTCTCTCTCTCTCTCTCCCTCCCTCCCTCCCTCCCTCCCTCCCTCTGTCCCTCCCTCCTCATCACCAACATCAACATCAACATCAACACCAACACCATCACCATCACCACCACTCCACCACCACTCCACCACTCCACCACCACCACCACCATCACCACCACCACCACCAACACCACCAGCATCATCATCATCATCGTCATCTGCGGAATTTAACAGCCCCAGGGGATAAACAGTAGGTTGTCAACCAGATACCTTTCAAGATCTTAAAATGTGAGTTCTTATGATGTCACTCCCAGTGAAATCTCTGTTCTGATCTTTTCCATAATCGCGGTGTGGCCCTTGAGCCAGATTCCGGGATGGAATTCATTATTCCATGGACAGCACATCCAGCCTTTGGCAGGATGAAAAACTGTTTTCTTTGCATCAGTTTGGGTTAGATCCAAGTCCTTCAGTTCTGTTCTCTCACAGCCTACTCACTTGGAAATTCTTGTCGACCCAAACGTTGACCTAATTAGCACCTTCTATGGTGCAAAAGTCGGTGTCAAGCAACTTCTTCTGTGTCACATGCAAAACAATGAGTGAACAGCAGTGAACGAAATTTGCAAATCAGTCCAAATTTAAAGTGGATCTAAGTGACAAATTCTGAAACTATGTCTCACTGTTCTTGGCTGAGATGGTCATTCGCTCAGACACTTGGCTTGTCTACTTTCCTGCTATCACTACGTTTCCACCACTTCTCAAGTGGCTCTTTCTGCAGTTCAGAACATTCAAGCAAACATTTGGTTCCACCAAATGTGAAGATTGCACAAAACCAAAAAAAACGGAGAAATATGTGCAACTGATTATGGCTTCGCAAATTAAATCCGAGATCACAACTGCGAGACTCTCTGAACTGAGTGCACGGGCACAATCCAAATAAATCGCACTGCGCTAAGCACTATAGGTCAATGCTCGGATGCTTGTAGTTACATGTGGTTGCCGATGGCTTCTGAAGACAAGCAAATGGCATAAAGTCTAGAGTGTTGGAATCGGTTTCTCTCACATTTTCCACAACTGTTCTCAGTTGTGAGCAGCTTTCCCATCTGAAAATATTTCTGACTGTCGCAGTGGAGCACGCACTCCCAAGAAATTTAGTTCAAGCTCTCGTGACATCTGCTGCACTAAGTTTATGTCTACCGACGGATGCATCAAAGATGCACAGACATTATCAAACTAAATCTCTATGGAATGAGATCCTCACTCTTTGCACTGCACCTTTGGATTCACAATTCCGGCAGGAATTGTGCAAAACTTGGCTTATCACTGTCCAAAAATCAATACTCTTTCTCAGGAGAAAATTTCGTGTGTTCTGCACCAAAAATCAACTGTGCTTTGGCGTTTTTGATCAAGAAAATCATTTCAATTGGTGTTGAGCACCAAACGGCATATGCTTCATGAATTTAAGCCTAAGCGGCTGAGATTTTGGATCTGAAGCGCTGACACGATTGTTAACATGCACCTCTGTCCCAGATGGTGCATTATATTCACACCCCCTTTCGTGTCATGGCGGAGGATCTGCACACAAGGGAAAATTCGATGTACTGAAGTGCAAATGATTGCAAGTGTCAAAAGGCTGGAAGTCACATGGGATTGCATGAGTCTTAAAAGATCTGCAATGATGAGACTAAAGGAAAAATTGACATCTTTTGCCTTCGCTCGCCACTGCTTCTCAAATCTTCTCATATCCAACATGTCCCATGGCTATATAATTCAAAGGTTGGAATACTTTGCTGAAAACCTGTCACCTCATATAAACCCGAAGCTCACTAAGTTTCAGGCTGCCGAGATAGGAAATTCAGCCAATCTCTTTCGTGAAAATCGAAAATCCTCAGGTTGTTTCGGGTCCCACATCAGATAGGCGTTGTCTGGCCCATGCGGTCGGAAATCATAAAGCTCTTTCTCGAAAATGCTTTTCACAGAGGCGATGAGGCACCCACACAATTTCCAGGGATACCTTTCAGTGTTTGTCCAGTTGATCTCATTAAAATGCTTATGACGTCCATCATCGCAAGAGCAAACTGAAAAGCATGCCAAGGACTGCACAATCAAAGGATGGTTGCTGACAAATTGAAGAATCTTGCTGATCGGTTCTGCGTCAAGTTGACAATATTGGACAAACTGGCTATAAAGAGGTTGTTTACTACATTTCAACAGCTCCTGCAACTCAGTTCTGGTCCAGTATTGATTTCGCTTGGGAAGTTCAAATGACCAAAGGAGGACATGCGGTATCAGTTCAAAACAAAATCCAATCAACCTCAGAAATTCCTGCATGCTTTCTGCCTTCAAATCCTCATTCTTTGATAGGCGTTGGAGGCTACTACCTCCAGTGCAAGGCAACGAAATATGCATGTATGATGGTTTCATCGCTTTCTTGAAATCCTGTAAGCATATCTTAATATCTTTCCAATATTCTTCCAGGTGTGAAGGTTCAGTACAACAGACAATGAGGGTCCCACGCTTCAAGTCTTTGAATGCTGTTTTGGTCAGATGTGAGCTACTCTCACAGCCAATTTCCAGCACTAAATACGCAAAATCATGGCAAGAAACATTTGAAATCTCACACGCTTCAATGAGGACACACTCCTTGGAAAAATATGAAAAGACTACAGCAGGCATGAGGATTCTGTCGCGTTCCTTTGCGACATCTTTCTCGGTGGACGAAACTGCTTGCTGTTGGATTTTGTTCTCCCCCTTTGGCTTCTTGGCTGATTGGGCTTTGGACGAAATCTTCTCAGGCATTACTTCAGGCATTTCTGGGGCCTCGTGGAATCCCATGGCCACAAGATGTTTCATAAACAGTCGCAGTCCTAGAGTTTTGGTAAAGAGATCAGCTATTTGTTCTTCGCCTTCAACCCAAGTCAATACGATATATCGCTTCTTTACAAGGTCCTGGCAAAAACAAATTCGCAATTCCACGTGGCGAGATCTCCGCTGCAGTCCTGAAGCCGACAAAACTCTGATAGCTGCTTGTGAATCACATCTGCACTCAATCTCGACCTTTGGCCTCTCTTCCGTGATATGTTCAGTCGCAAACAAAAAATTGATTAGTCGATGGATAGCTTCGGCATGTTGAACTCCTTCATGGAGAGATGTGATCTGCGAATGGGTGTCAAAGAAGAAATGCTGTGAAATTCTACTTAGTCCAATTGCTTCCTGCATGCAGTCAGCAAGTGCCGACAATTCAGCTTCACAACTGCTGGTAGCTACGATCTGTTGAATTCGAGAGAATCCCTTTACCACCGATCCTCGATAGAAAGTCACACATCCACTTATGGATCTCCTGCGCAGCATTCGGAGAGGTGCCCAAGAAGCATCGCAATACATGATGAGTTTGTGAGAATCAGTGTCGAATGGCTTTGCTTCTGGTGATGGAAAACATTGCTGCATGCTCTTTAAACTACGAAGCCACCTCAACACAGCTCGCATAGCATGCTCATGTGCATCGGTCGGCTCGGCCATACCTGTGGCCAACAAGGCGCAATAAATGCACAGAAATACCATGGTTTGGCTCATCCAACTGAGTTTCCCGAGTGCAGCTCGGTATTTCAAAGCAGCTTCTTGCGAAATTGGATCTGCTTTACTCTCGTTATCGAGGATTGGTCTCAGATCTGGTGGTGGCCTGCTGGCTGCATTAGAAATCTGATACGATTCAAATACACTATCCAAATACGTATCATCCAACTTCACTGTGAGGGTCCGACTGCTTGGCTTTCTCTCAATGGTGCGTCCCAGGAATCGAAGGCTCCCACCTCCATGTTCCGAACTGTTGATTTCACCAGTTTGCTTTATTCTAAGATGATTGGCGAGATGATTGAACACAATCATCGCTTCTTCCTTGGAACTGGCAAAGACTAATAAGTCATCAACATAGGCAATAATTTGAACCAATTTGTTTGTTTTGCCTTTTCCTACCTTTAAATACCCAGCAAAAACCGTGGGCTCAATAGGGCTTGGGTGTAAACCTAGTTCTTGGACCAAATGTGAGAGGTGTTCAACCCAGGCAAGACCAGATGTTCTCAGGCCATTGATGGCCTTTTCAGCAATCAAGCAGATCGGGCTACCGTCCATCAGGGTCATGGAAGAAGGAGGAAACTTCAGTAAAACTTTTATTGGCTTTCCAAGCTTCATTCCAAGGGGTGATGCCATAAACGCAGCACTCACGTCTATACCCATTACATATAAATCATCTGCTCCGGCGGTTGCAAGCATGATTCTAAGTGATTCGATGGAACTGGTTGGGGAACTGACCATTAAGTCTCTGGCGGATGCCTGACCTTTAGCCACTTCTCGGGCTACCAGCCTCATTCGCACATTTGTGTCGTCCTTCTGAACACACACCCAACGA